CATGTTTTGGGCCGTTGGATGATGCAATATCAAGGGTGTGCACAGGTTCTCAGGTTCACACTTTAACGTAGGTTCTCACCTGAACACACACACACACATATGTAGAAAGTTTTCCTCCTAAGGTTCACTTCAGATGCACCAAACTTCTAATGTGGTATGCAAGCAAAAGCATTAGTGATATATGAGATCTCAAATCAAATTGATTATAGAAACCAAAGGAAACACATGTGAAACCTTAGAGCAGTTACCTTGACAGCTTGATCAGCAGCCTTGCAACTTTCAATTGTTGCCTTGATGTCACCGGTATGCCCCACCATGTCACTATTTGGTAGGTTAACACGTACCTGAAAGAGATTGTCCACTCTATAAGTCAGTTATAAATGTTAACTTCTCTACTTGGTTATTATATCTATAGCAGTCATGGATGCCAAATCAATTACCTGATCAAACTTGCGGCTAAGAATAGCATCCCTAGCTTTTTCGGCAATCTCTACAGCCTTCATCTTTGGCTTGACATTGAATGTAATACCAATGTCACTTGGAATTTCAACATACTCTTCCAAATCAGCATTAAAATACCCAGAGCGATTTCCATTCCAGAAAAAGGTGACATGACCAAATTTAACAGTCTCACTGTAATGGAAATGAAAGGTGTAAGAAATTAGGTCAAAACTCGTTAGATGAGAGAAGTCTACAAGCTATATTATGAAAATCAAAATTAAAAAGCAAACAAAATAAGAGACATTGATAAAAGAAGAATATGGTTTATATTCAATAATGATTTCTCATTACAATTTACAAAGCAACTCTTTAAATGGATTTTCCCCAATTTTGTATACACATAAGGAGAATTGATGGAAAAAATATATTTTTCAATGCAAATTAGAAGCATAGGCCACTTCATGATTTCTCAAACTAATAGGATTAATACCAAGATGTAAAAAAGAAAGGTGACTTATACTTGATGAATCAATGCTAACAAGTACATAAATAAATGAGATGGACTATGTAAATCAAACATAACTAACCTGCAGGCAAAAGTTCGGATACCGTTGCGAACTAGATATTCTCCTGAAGTTCTGTCAATTTCAGGAGGAGAAACAAGGTAGCGACTCGGGAGCTTCAACTCCCCATCATATTGCAGCATACCAGCATAACGGATTTTGGGGAATCGGACACGATCAAATTTATCAAAGTTCTCATACTCGAGAGCCTTAGCAAGCATAACCATACGGTCCGCTCGGAAGTTGAGAGTAACTACAGCATCACCATCTACAATAGGCCCAACAGACTTTCCATTCTCATCAACAATAACGAATGGAGGCAAGTACTGATCATTAGCATTAGGAGCCTCCCTCAGCTTCTTGACTGCTTCAACAGGATTCCTAAACTTGTTTGGAGCTTCACCTAGCACTTGGGCATCCCAACCTCGCTTGACAACATCCCAATCATTCTGGAGAACATGGAGGAATTATTATTCAGTACAAGTTCTTTATAACTGTGAACAGGAATAATTTTACTTAACACTCAAAATTTGCACTCCCAACTCCCAAGCAAACAGTAGAAACCAGAGAAAAAGGAGATACTATTGTGACAGCAAAATGGTAATCAGACTGATTTAGGAAAATTTCATGAGAGAAAATCCTGAAGTATAATTATGCTTTACCTCATATCGATCCATTGTGACATACATGCGGCCTCCTCCAGAAGCAACCTGGGCATCAACACCTTTTGCACGTAGGTTTGCAAGATCATTTTCAAGGGTTTCCATAAAGCCTACACTTGAACCATCCAAGACATCACGTCCATCTGTGAGGGCATGGACGCGAATTTTTTTGGCACCACGTTCAGCTGCACCTTTCAGCAACAACTGCAATAAAAAGTAGTAGACAGTAATTATTTTATCATGTTCAAAAGGAACTTCGAAAAGTAAAAACAAAATAGGCCATCCACACATGTAAAATCAGTACAAAGTACACCATTATCACAATACAATTTAGAACTAATGGACACACCTGCAATTGGTCAAGTCTGGAGTGGACACCTCCATCACTCAATAGTCCAATCAGGTGCAAAGTTGCAGTTGCGAAACTTTCCTTAATGTAATTGAAACCATCTCCATCATAGATTTTACCAGAGGCAAGGGCTAGGTCAACAAGCTTTGCACTATACAAAAATACAAATACCAGTTAAGTAACTTTGGAGAACTTATGAACTTAAATGGAAATTGGGAGGATACTTTCGACAACCATCCACTGGTTCATAAAAAATCAAATTTCAGGCTAAGCAGTGAAAAGACAGGAATTGGCCTAATAGAAATTGTATAAAAGACGTTTTTAGAGAAATAGAAAAGACGAAAAGTAGCATAAGTTCATATGAAAAAACTTAATACTAGAAAAATGTAAAACCAATTTTCCATTTCACACTTCACAGGATGGAACAACTAATTGAAGCCCATAAAATTCAGGAATATCAGTCAACAGTATAACAAGCCCAATTACAAATTTCATATTTACAATTTACAATACTAATTATACTGACCATTGCCATTTAGTTTTGCATAAAAACAGGTCAAAGATTCAAATTTTGCTTCAGATTTTCCAAATGCCATTTAGTTTTGCATAAACCATACACATCAGTGTAAGATAAAAGAGAAGAACAGACCCTTGGGCAAAGATCCTCCCAGCACCAAGTGCATTGTGTCCGACCTCGCTGTTGCCCATATCGTCCTCTGTTGGAAGCCCCACCGCATTACCATGTGCCTTCACCAACCTCCACCTATCCGGAGCACCCTTCAAAGACCACACAACAATCCATGAATACTTTTAAATCAATCACACATTAATAAACAAAAACATTCATCACAATAATCACAACCATTCAACAAATCTATAAAGGTCCCATTTGGTAGGCCTATGATATTAACCACAATCTAGCTTACAATCTCAACAACGTAATCAAATCAATTCCAAAGAGATGATCGCAAACCTTTTTGAGAGAATCCATGGTGGGAGTCTCGGCGACATGGATGGCGTTGTACTCATTGGCACCTGCCTCGCCCCATCCATCCAGAACCACCAGTGCCAACGTCTTCCCCTTGGGAAGCTTAGGGTGGTCGTTCAATTTCCATGAATCCCCAGCGCTAGCCATATCTCAGATCTTCTCTTTCGAAATACTTAATGTTGCAACTAATTCAATGACCCAGATACGAAAACCAACAACTTCAAATCATCAGATCTTAAAGCTCCAAATATATATATACAGAGAGAGAGAGAGAGGGAGAGAGAAATGGAGAGGAGAACGAAATGGGAAGTGAGAAGAAAAGGGCGGGGTTAGGTTGGAGAAGTCACGTGAGGTATGGGGTGTTAGTTTTTAGGTACAATACAGTTAGAGAGCCACGTGTGATTTTCCAACTTCCAAATCGGCGGCGATTCGGCGAACACGAGGATCGATCAGTCTGGAGTTAGCATTTTTCTTCTTTTTTTTTAGAATGAAAAAAAAATTTGAAATATCGTCACAACTCACATGCATATATGAATTTGACAATTATATTAAATTTATATTAATTTAGAATTGGAAATTTAGAATACTCTTTTCAAGATTATTTAAAAAAAAAAAAAAGATTTTCAAGACTTATTATTCACTCCAGGTAATAGATTACCTCCAGTAAGGTAATGTGGAATTTTGGGAATGTAAGATTACCTTATGTGTTTGGTTTAGATTGTGTAATATAATATTACCATGTTTGGTTAAGGATTATATTTTAAGTTATATAGATTAATTTACAATAATGTCCTCAATAATATATATATTATGGAGTATAAGTGTGTGTATTTATTTATATTTATATGTATGAATGTATATTGATGCTTAAATATTAAAAAAAAAAGAAGCTAAATATATAAATATACACACATGTATATTTGATTATATAAACATATATTAATTTTATTATTATTATTATTATTATTATTATTATTATTATTATTTAAAGATTAGTTAACAAGGGTAAAGTTGGAATAATTCAAGGTAATCTAAGATTACCTAAAAAAACGGGGGTAATCACATTACCTTGAAACATTACCGCCACATCAGCTTTCAGGTAATCTCATATCTTGAACCAAACAAGGTAATATAACATTACCTGACTCAGATTACCTAGGTAATCTGAGATGACCTGAACCAAACGCCCCCTAAAAAGTATATAAGAAATTGATTTTACTTCAATTCTTTGTAAATGCATTCTCAATTTTCCTTCCTCTAGAAAAATAAAGAATTTCTCCAACTACCTAACCTAATTAAATTAAACGGCATATTTTGATTTCCAGTCAACTGGTTAACCAATTCAAAATAAGTTCCTAAATTTTATTTCACTAGCAATTGCAATGTACAAGTATTTGAAAACAGTAAGTCAATTGAGACACATCCCGTGATTTACCTTCTCCACTAATCTTCGGAAGTCGGAACAGAAGCGCAATGATAGAACTTTAAATTTGGAGTTAAAACTTATTAAACTACATATTCTAACTCAATTTAACACAATCCAAATGTAACCCAAGCCTCAAATCAAGTAATCTAAAAACACAAGAACAAACTCCCTATACTTCAAAACCAACAAACATATTTCAAGAAATTACTCCCAAACAAATCTAGCACTAGGACTCAAACCATGAACTAAAGATCCAGTCTGCCCTATCAATCTAGGGGTAGTCTTCAATAAAGCTTTGCTTGGCATGTGGATTTAGATCACCTGATTCTAGAAACTATAAATAAATTGAAAGAAGGTTCTGTGTTTCTGGTTGTGTTTCTAAGACTTTTGAGGTTGAAAAGAGGGTTTATGACCCTTCTTTTCTTTGATGCATTTGACTTGACATTCTTAACTTGCATTTTCCAGGCCCCTGGAAAAATAATACTATTATACTACTATTAGGAGATCAGTTCAGATTCCATACAGAAACAAACTGCAAAATATAAGAACTGTATCTTACCACGAGACACGAGTATATGGCATTCCTCATGTCCATTTTTTTTAATGATAAGCCATGCAACGAACCACAACTTCAGTCCTGTTGCAGCCATGAACTTCATTACTCCACTAGTCCAGTCCTTTGTTCCTGCACTGAAAGAGAATTTCAAGCAAGAGCTTCAAGATAAACCTATCAAGAGTATATAGCATTCAGCTTCCCTTGAAAGCATCTTCTAAGTCATGCTGTTAATTGGCATCTGAAGACAAAACCAGAATGTGGTTCTCGGTGACTTGATATTAAACAAATCTGTGGGATTTCTGAGCTGATACTTCCATGAGCAAAAGCAAATTCAAATCTGAATGCTCAGAGAGAACATGCTTTAATTAATCAGATTCCTCGAGCCATGAGTACGAGTCCAATTGTTCAAATCTTTCCCCAACAATAAAAGCATATACCCCGTCTCGCATCTGAACCCAACTGCATCCAGGCATCTTCTTTACTCCTTTCATTTTCATCAATTCTCTAACCCTATCTGCCTCCTTCCACCTCCCAGCTTCGGCATACATGTTGGAAAGCAGTGCATAGTACCCAGAGTGCTTCGGCTTCAATTTAAGTAAGCGTTCAGCAGCCCAACAACCCAGTTCCACCTTTCCATGGAGCCGACATGCTCCAAGTAGTGCACCCCAAATATTGGCATCTGCTTCAATTGGTAGACTTTGAACAAGATGAACGGCTTCATCTACAAGCCCATTGCGACCAAGAAGATCCACCATGCAAGCGTAGTGTGTCTGTGTTGGCTTAATATTGTGAGCAAACATGTCATCAAAATATCTCCGTCCCTTTTCGATTAGCCCTCCATGACTACAAGCTGATAAGACAGCAATAAAGGAAACTGAATCATATTCAACCCCGTCATCTTTCATGGCTTCAAAGAAATTAATAGCAGTTTGCAGTTCACCAAGCATTCCATACCCCAATATCATAGTATTCCAAGATGCCACATCCCTGCATTGCATTCGATCAAAGATCTTCCTAGAAACATCAATCCGTCCACACTTGGTGTACAAATCTAAAAGCGAGTTCGAGACAAATTGATGGGAATGAAACAATCTTCTAACTGCATAACCATGGATCTCCTTTCCTTGCTTGATTGCAGAAACATTAGAACATGCAGAGAGAGCCCCTACAAATGAAACAGTGTCATGTTCCATTCCCAGCCGGCCCATTTCTGAAAATAGAGCAAGAGACTCTTGCCAATCATCAGTCAGAGAATAACCAACAATCAGTATATTGTAAGATACCTCATCTCTAAGGGAAATTTCAAATACATTTTGAGCCAGATCTAGACAGCTACATTTTGCATACATATCAATCAAAGCATTTGAGACAAATAAATCCGAGGCAAACCCACTCCGGAGTGACTTTGCATGAATCTCCTTCCCAGGGCGAACACATCCCAGCCTTGCACATGCAGGGAGAACATTAGTGAAAGTAACAGAGGTCAGATTTTCACCTTGAGCTTGCATTTTCCTGACAAGGCCTATAGCTTCCAACTCCAGGGAATTTTGTGCAAAGTTTGCAATCATTGCATTCCACGATATGGCATTCCTCATGTTCATATTATAAAATACATTCGATGCTTCAGTTGAACGCCCTGATTTAGAATACATATCAATCAAAGAATTCGAAACAAAGACATCTCTATCCAAACCCATTCTCACACATAAACCATGAACTTCCCTCCCCTTGCAAAAGTAACCAAGTTCAGCCAAGATTGGTAGCACGCTTGAAATTGTAGTTGCATTAAAATCCACTGTCTCAATCATCAACCTGAAACTAGACAAGGCCTGTTCATAACACCCATTGTAACCCAAAATGACAATACTTGCATTCCATGAGACATCATTCCTCTCAATCATCTCATCAAAGACTTGTTTCGAGGCTTCAACCTTTCTGCACTTACCATAAGCATCAATTAATGCATTCCCAATACTGAGTTGACTATCTAAACCTACTTTCAAAACATAACAATGAATCCCACTACTCATCTTCCCATACTCAAGTGCTGCACAAACTGGCAGTGTGCTCACCACGCTAACTGCATTTGGCTTAACCTCAGACCAAAAAAGCATATCTCTGAACACTCTAATCGCATCAAAGCAACAACTATTGTCTGAAAATGCCCGAAGAATCGAGTTCCAAGACACCAAATCCTTCTCCGGCATTTCACCGAACACTTTTTCTGCAGCCAACAAATCACCACAGTTCCCATAGAACGTCAACAGAGTATTATTCACGTACACATCTGAATCGAATCCCACCTTCAGCAACGTTCCATGAGCCTCCAGTCCTTTCCGGACCTCCAAAAAGTCCGAGCAAAGCTTAAGCACAAAAGGGAAAGTATGATCATCCGGCATAACACCACTCCTCAGCATCTCATTATACACCATAAACCCATTGTGATCATAAATCCCTAGCATCCCCTGAGCTCGAATGAGGGTGTTGTAGAGAAACGGTGAGAGAGCAAAAGCGACGCTCCGGGAGAAGAGGGCCTGGACGGTTTCCGAGCTCGACTCAAACAGAGCGTACCGGAGAATGAGCGCAGCGCATACGGATACGCTGGACGGAAGGACGCCATGGAGGACGGCCTGAGCGTGGGTTTGTTGGATTTGCCGGAGAGACTGCGCCGAGGCGCAGACGGAGAGAATGTCCGGCCGGTGAGACCATTGATACTGTGGGAGAATGTGTAGAGGGCTTCGGCAAGAGAGTGAAGAAGCGAAACGAGATAGGCGAGCATGGCAGCGGTGGAAGATATACATACAAAAAATACAGAATTACAGAGTAATAGAATCAGAGAAACAGAAGCAGAAGAAATGCCTGGATTTTGGAGGGAAAGCTTGAATTTAATATGTCGGGGCAATTTCTCTAAAGACCCCTTTTGTTTTCATTATTTACACAAACCTCCACATAAAAATTTGATCAGGGAAATATTATTTATTATTGGAGCATCCTCAATAGATTGATTTTTTGCACAAAAATTAAGAAGCCATGTAGGATAGAGATGAGGGAGAGAGAAGGAAAAGAAAATAAGAAAAAAAAACAAAGCAAAAATAATGACAGTTATAGGAAACATGAAACAAAAAAAAACAAAAACAAAAACAAAAAAAACAAAAAAGACTATTAATGCGCTGACAGTATCTGTGTGGTGTGGTCCGAAAAAAAAAAAAAGATAGGACTCACATTTATGACAAAATCTTCATTCTTGCATGAGGAACTCTCCCCTCTCTCTCTCTCTCTCTCATCTCTCTTCTCTCCTCCACCTTACCATTTTTTCCTTAAAACTTGTGCACAACCTCTTTATTAGGGTTGTTCTTACGGATTATTTTTTTCTTTTTCTCATAGTTGGTATAATTTTCTAAAAGCATATACATATATAGCACAGCACGAGGAAGTAGAGTAGAGACATAAAATATTCTATAATCTTGTAGAATCCTTAAGTTTGTATAGAAAATTAGGGAGGATTCTAGAGCTATAATAATAGATGTCATAAAATCAAGTAAATCTTCACCATTTATTGAAGAGAGAAAATGGCTATAAATACCTAGCCAATAATTCGAAGAGTCAACTTTCGAGATTGCCATGAAAGAGTAGCTATGAAAGAGTAGCTAAGACGGATCAATACTAGCATATATACAAAGATTTTTGTTTAGACCGTTAATAATAATAACAGTAATTCAGAGTATATATTACCTACAAGGAGTATCTAGGTAGATAAAACATGATTTCTAATCAAAAGATCACGAGCTCAATTTTTTGCCAATTCAAATCATACATTCTAATCTGTCATACTATAAGTTTAAGGAGAAATATCTTTACAAAGTACAAGCAATGTTTTAGCATGTATGTAACAATATTAATATGGCACAACAAGACTAATTAAAACCAGTAATAAACACAAGAACAGCTGAACTTAATTCATTTCTTTAGCATACTAAATGGGGAGTCTGGCATAGACAGCTCCATGTCCACACACATATCCTCGGCTTCATTAACATCTTCATAATTTGTCAAGCCTCCTTCCTGCATATGACAATCAAATGCCCACGTTTTTCCATGTTCATTGTCATCAGATCCCTCTGCAATATCATCCAGCATGGTGTTTATATCACCATATCCACTCAAAACATTGGAAATTTTGGGATAGCAGTCCTGAGGTTCTTCCGGTAAATAGTTTGTGATTCCCTTTCTGCAACCGCTGTGTTCTCCTGCTTCTTTTGGGTGTTGCTCCTGCTCTGTGATGATATGGCCGTGCTCGAGAGCCACCGCCTTGTGTTTGGCTGTCCAATCAGGGCGGCTCCATAAATATAATGGTGGTGCTGTTATGTTCCATTGCTCCATCTGCTGGTCATTCACATCCACTGATCCAGGCAGGTAAAAGGACTGATAGAATAACAGATCAAATACTTTTTAAGTTTTGTTTTTATGCTAACACAATAAAAAATGTAAAACCATATTATTGCTAGCTGACCTTCCCAGCCAGTATTTTATGATCTTCCCAAACTATATCATAGCCATCTTGTCTTCCATCAAGTCTGGTAGCAGAAAACAGATTAAATAGTAAGCAGGAAAACCACTTGATATCTAAGATGTATAAATGTTCACCTTGTTGTGTCCTTAGGGACAGTGACAATGAGAACCTTTGGTTTGAATGTAAGAGCCTTTCTGAGAAATTCGTAGGCATGGGCAAAAGGTGGATTCAGCCCCATGATCTGTTGAAAATAAAGTAAAATTTAAACCGTTCAAAATATCACTCTCATAAAACTCACATGAAGGACTAAAAAGTGTTAAGAAATTCAAAATCGGAGATTAATAGTGGAAAAAATGATAGTTGAGGACTATAAATAGAAATGCCACAAACATTGAGGAACTAAAAGTACTATTGTTTTTTAATCTATTACCATAATAAAGGAAACAACTATATGGTGCTTACCAGTTTAGATCCTTCAGGTAATTCTCCTACTGCAACACTCAACCAATTCCTCTTCTCAAAATTGAAATCATTCTGAGGAAAAACATATAATGAAGCCTTAGCACATGTATACCTGCAAAGACTTCGAATATAGGAATAACAATATAAAATGTGGTGGCATTCGTGTAATATTGAAATAGTTTCCAATAGTACTTAGTACCATGGAGAACTGTTAAGAGTCCAACATTGATAAAATAAGAGAGAACATATGGGTTTATAAGGCCATGACTTAGACTAGCTGATTGGATGGATTCAGTCTAACTATTATCATGCATTGCGTAGTAACTTCAAAAAATCTTAGAGCAAAATAAAAATATTTCACCTTGGGTTGTATGAGATCATAATTTTTGAATTCACAGGTTTTCCCCATTTTTTGAAGCTCCTCTTTCATCAGGCAGCTGAAATCATTTGACCCACAGCAAAAGTCGACAACCTGTTTAAGGAGCATTTTGTTTAAGGAAACGTCATATGATCATTGTAGGCACTACACCTTTAATACTTGCATTTCAGTAGATTAGAGAAAATGGAGGCAGGTTTTAATAGAAGTTGCTGAAAAATAATCAAACATTCAGAAAAGGATAAAGTGTGTGGAACTTTACCATGTCTCCATCTTGTACATACCAACGGAGCCTATTAACAATCTGCAAATTCAGAAATTAACCATGGGTCAACATGCTATTTGTACAGACACCAAACTCAGTAAAGATATAAGGACGACCAGCATAAATCACTTCTGAACCATAAGAAAATCTACCTCTCTTAATTTGTCAAGTTTTGTGAAGTGGCGACCAAAAGATGTATACCGCATGCCATTGAGAAAAGGGGCGAGATAGGAACCTAGGTTCTTCTGCAGTGTAAGAAAAGAGATACATTCTACAGTAATTATTCTGTTTCTCATCAGACACCATCAAAACTTCCATCTGAACTCAAATTGCAAATAGGTTCATGTATTTTAAGTATATACCTTCCATTTGAAAATATTTTTGAGAACCTCAGGTTCACAGATAGCTTTCGCATCCTCAATACTGTGCCCTTCATCTAATTTCTTCAAGGCTGCTTGAACAGCCTGAGAATATTGAGGGACCAAAAAGGAAAAAGGATAGACATTATAAACTGGAATCCACAGAAAAAAACAGAAATAATCTCTGTCCAACTTTATGTAAAACTGATAATCATACCTTCACAGCACGCTCCACCTTAGCTTCAGTAATGGTCTTGACATCATCGAATTTTGAGGAAAATGTATGAATGCTGTTCTTTTTATGCTCCATCATGAATTTATGCTTATCAAAAGAAGAATCGACGCTTTCTACGAGAGCACGTATACTGCAAAGCCAAATATTGTATTCAAAGGAAAAGAACAAAGAGAAACAGTTGAACTTCAAAGGAGATTTGCAGTGACAAGAAAAAAAAAATGAATATATTTGAATCAAAGGGATATTGCTTCAGGAATATGACAAGGAAAGTTCACTACCTCTTCTCTGTCTCATCCCGTGAAGGCCATTCACTGTTGTCCTCCTTCACCACGATTACTCTTTTCACCACATTACGTGTCTGGCTAATGTTTTGCCCCTTAGAGACCAACCTGATATTTACTGGTTCTTTGAACTTTCTTTTCTCCACATTTGGAGGCTTATATGTTTCTTTTGGGATGCACATGTAGTTGCCATTTACAGTCTTCACAGTTTGACTCATTTTCAGTGTTGAAGCTACTTTGAGTGGTTTCCCCTCTTCTTTAATTGAATCACCAGGAAACCTCTGGAAAGATTTGTCCCCTTCACCTTCCACCATTTCTCTCATAGCTCCAAACACCTTAGTTCTCCTTTGAGAGAGCACAGTCTCTTTGCTTGACAGTTGACCCGAAGCCTGCTTATCCTTTCGAGCTTCAAAAGGAAATAAGATATGATCTCTTCTTGGAGTCCCAATTTCAGGAATCATCTTGTGTTTCCTATTAAGAGGCGACAGCATTAAAAAATAGCAAGATCCATGAAAGAGTAATGAAACAACCTAACTTACATGCAATATATCAAGATACGACCAGGCAAAAGTCCATCCCATGCCCTTTGCTGGATATTTTGCTCGAAATTATTCTCAAAAGTAATACTCCTGAGAAGTCATTTAATAACATTAACTGTAAAGTCGGAGAATTATTTCCAAGTAGTAAAGAATCACATTAAACTACTAGCGTATATGAGGAAAAAAGAAAGAAGAACAACCTTGGCAGACATTTCCTATGATATGCCTTCGGGCAGCGTCTACAAACTGCAAATTGCAACTCATTGACCTTTTTATCTTCTACTTGATTGCATATAAAACATTTATGAGCAGGGCACGTAAATTGTTCTCCATTGGCAATTTCCTTTTCAAGTTTTATGGCTTGTATTTCATCAGATGGATAGACCAGCCTTGAGATACACTTTGGATGAAAGAAATGACCACAAGTTGCAGAGACACAAGGAAAGACCTATAATATAATATAACCATATTGAGTGGCAAATACAAGTTACAGTTGAAGAAATCACCTTATATATATGTAAGAGGCAATGCAAACTTGTAAAGATATCAATTCCACGTTTTAGAGAACAAGTTATATGCATAAGTTTCACAACAATGCAATTAACTTAACTGTGCCGAGTTTATATCTTCAAGTTCATTTGCACTGTATTATTATTGTGAAATTCAAGTATTGTCTCAAAGTTGTGAGCTGATAATTATGTTTGGTTCTCCAAGAATAAAGAAAAAAAAATGAGGTTCACCAAGAAGGATATACATGGTCCTCTTTATCAAATTCGTTAGTTTACTCAATTATTGTACGTTACTAAATCAAAACCTTAAGGCAGTTGCATACTTGCATGTGAATCTAGGGACTAAAGGAAACATTTCCCCAATAACCAAGTATACAACATGGAAGTAGTGGCCAAATTAAAGAGCAAATGTTTTGACTAAACGAAAACAATTACACTCAACTTCACTTATACTCAACCAAATTTTTACGCAGATTGGAAAATTTTTCAAACCTCAGCTGCCCCAGAAGAGCTGTCAGAAAAGCCCAATAAACCACATGCAAAGCATTGATGTAGTCCATGTTGACAATTTTTGCAGATAAATGTTTGAATTGCCTGTTTAACAATCAGCAGGAAAAAATTTTAAAATCTTGAGAGACAAGGATTAACCCCAAAAAAGAGGATAGAAACAAAGTTTAAGACACAAGGATCCATAGAAATAGTTTTTACTTCTACACGGTTACTAGTATAGCCAAGAGATTCACAAAGGGAATCGGCACCAGATTCTATAGTTGGATGGAAGGATCGTATGCATCTCCCTTCACAACTGCAAAACATGTAAAATAGATAATAAATAAAAAGAAAAATAAACTTAGAAGGATTAACAATCAGAGCAATGCAAAAGTCCAACAAGCTTATTGGGGCTATAATGAACATGGGCCAAACCACACTAAAAGATTGAATCTAACCAATTAGCTAGTCTAACCCATGGCCTTATAAACCCATATGTTCTCTCTTATTTTATCAATGTGAGACTCTTAACAATTGTCTCTGATAAGCTTGCAGCAAGTGATAAAGGAGTAAATGAAGTTGATTAAAAGCGCAGAGGGTAAGATAAGTGGAAAATAAGTCCTTAAAATCAGTACAATTTTACTTTGCCTTGGTAGCATGGTGCTTGAGCTACAAATAGAAAGCTTTGCGCAAAATGGATGCATCTTCTGCAAGCTAAAGGTCCCTTAAAAAAGAGAGGTTACCATTCTTCCTGGCATTTTCTTTTCTTTGACCCAAAGACGTTAGGATTCACTCTTTCCTAATAATCTAATATACTTGAGCCCTTTTCAGTTCTTTAAAGTGGAGTTAATCCTTCAAATCCTAGTTCACATTTCTTTCAAATTATTTAAAAGCAGGAAGGGGTCAGGTCACACTGCCACCATCACAAGGTCTTCATTTAAATGTCAAAATCAAGAGTCTATAGCTTCCTACAAAGCCCCCACCTTCTAAATACAAGTCAAGATGGAGTTTATCTTTGGAATTAGAAAGTGCCTTGGGTTTTCAAACCCATCAGTATGTTGCTATGTTACAAGAACATAAAGAAAAATATCAAACTAGAAAGAAGTAAAGAACCACTTTGAGTTGCAGCTTGCCTTTTTTTTTTTTATGGTAACTACTTTAAATAGACACACACACACACACACACACACACAAAGGAATGGAAATTATGTGCATACCACAAAAGTTCACCCCCATTATCACAAAGGGCACAAACATGATCAAAGATTCCATCACCCTCATCACCACCACCACTGTCATCATCATCCTCGTCAACAATAAATTTGTGTCTCTTATTTGCTTGGTTTACCCTTGACTAAAAGCATTTTTGACAATTACAAGTTAAAAGCAGGACCAAAAGGGAGAAATAAACTGCTCCATAAAATTGCCTTTCAAACTTCAAGCACTAACCTCATAAGCACTTTCCGTAGATGTCTCTGAAAGAAATCCAGCCAAGTACTGTTCCACAATGTTGTTAATATTCGGTTACTAGAGTATGTAAATATATATGCATAGAAGCACAAGCAGGACAACTCACCTAGGAAAGATAACAGTAAGCAACTGAAGGACTTGAAATTACTAAAGACAGAATTCTATCAGAACATAACTTATATTCCACAGCAAATAACTTATAAGTGGCACAGAGATAAGGATACAAGTACACCTTAACTCTCTTGAGTTATTTCCTTTTCCCTATATACAAATATGACTATGATTGCAGGTAGGCATATAAGGTTCAAGGGGATGATGACAGCTGCAGTTGCTTAATGCACTACCAAAAATATGACTGCTGGTAATAGTAGGGACAAATTAACACCCATTCAAATCTAGCAACCAAATATGTGAGACATGATAGTAGAAAATCAATTTCTCTCTGTGAAGATTAAGTAAATACTGCTCATCAATTTACGAAGCATAAAGCAAAGTTGACACTTACGTTATCATAATGGTAGTGAAGTAAAATGCGACAATACCTCAGATTTTGATATATCTTTATCCCTCAGTGCTGTGTCTCTGAGTATTGATATGTGTTTGAACAGATCATCTTCACAAGGTAGAACCTCACATGCACTAAATAGAATTGACAATTCAGTTAGCACCAACAAAAAAGTATAAGTAAACACACACACACACACACATAGAGTTAAATTAGGATATGTAAGTTACAATTGCATCCGCACCTCAAGGTTTTCACAATGTGTTTCCACACGGCTTCTCGAGATTGCTGAGGGTTAAATTTCACAAACTGGAGGCAGTGGACAACAGTCAAGACTGGTTTGATGATCTCCTGATAACTCTTCCTAGGTTTCAACAGCTTAACCCAGGTATTGTCTCTGGGAAGTAGCACATAAATTACGGGCTCGAGAAAACAGAGCCTGAACTTCCATGCCACAGCTTTCTTGTACACTTTCTGAAACCCATCATCTGCAGTCCCACGTACAAATAGATAGGCGCTTGATGGCATGGAAACCTCACTCCCATCCCATCCAAGAGGCAAAAGAACAAATGAAACCGGTTGATCATTGCAGTCCACAAAATAGTAATCTATTATGCATTCAGGCACAATTTCACCCTCCTCGTCAGATGAAGCCATGATCAATAAATTCCTTAGAAAATTACCTAAATTGTATCACCTACCCACACAGCATCGGCACCAAAATGGTTAAACCCACACACGTGAAAACCAAAAACTACAACTCTACACTTCTATAAAATCACATAAAAACCAATCTACAGCTATTTGTCCATGTTCTAAGAGTAAAATTTCCAGAATAAGAAAAAAAACAACCAAAAAAAGCATGAAAAACACAGAAAAGCACCTTAAACGATCACTTGATCAATCAAAAACTTAGAAATCTCAACTTCAGGAACGGAGAATAAGTAAGATCATTTTTGAAAACACAAACTTACGTACATATACACACTCGCACTCAAACGCACAAACAAACACAAAGCTGCTTCTTACCATGCTCATCCCTAGATGGATGAAGTTTTTTAGGAGAAATGGACTTTGAATTTGCTGCAGAAAGTAAATAAATGCAAGTCCGCTGAGAAGGGAAAGACAGTGTTCAGTGTTCACTGTTCAGGCAGTGATTTTTCTTTTCATTTCCTTTTTTTGTTTGTTTTGTTTTATAGTTCGCCATTTTCGGGTCGACGACAGTAACGTACTAACGTGGGAAAAAAATGAGATTTTCAGTTTTCACATTTGGGCTTTTGTCGCTTTTTACTTAGTTTGGACCCGGTGTATTATTTTATTATAAGAGTTGTTATAATATGAGCCCGTATTCTCCTCCTAATGTAGATTCTAGTTCTAAATGATGCATAAATTGTATATTTTTAGTATTGGAATTGAGTAATTGTAGAATGAAATTTGTAAATACAATATAGGGTTATCAAATCTTAATATTTGTACAAAATAATTAATTACATATATGTTAATAATTAACACTGTTGTTTGTAGTATACAAATTATGAACTTTTAAAATATAAATTATGAACAGTTAGTATGTAAACTGTGAACACAATATGGACCCGAGTCCACATAATAATTTCCGTTATTGTAACAATCTTTACAAACAAATTTATTTTTACTTTTTTTAAGATCCAAGGGAAAGAGAAAAAAAAAAACAATAAATAAGGATAAACGTACATGAAGTGGATTGGAGCGGATTTCAGGTGAATCCACATTCAATTCGCTAAATATAGATCAAAAAATTTTCATCCACATCCACATCCGCTAGAGGTGTCGATCTGATCCACTAATAGCGGATTTGGTGGATTAGATCGGATGACGAATTTTAAGTTTATAAAGTATACTCCGTATTAAATAAGTTTGGCTCTTAAAGACAATAGGTTTGGCGCTTGATGGGACAATCGATTTTTTTTTTTTAATTCAATTACGTTGTTTTGTTTGGTTCTTCATTCATATTTATCGCAATGTTGAACTTGTAATTATAACGCCAGGAAGAAGAAATCAAACTTGAAGAATGAAGAAGGCGGAAATTAAACTAGAAAACAATAATTGAGAAATGTGAGAACCTAAAACCCTATGTCATGTCTCAGACTCTCAGATTCGCATACAATCCGATAGTGACGAATTTTCATTAAATGAATTTGCATCCCATCAACTTTATGTGGATATATGCGGATGGGATGGAAGTCGATTTGGTGGATTTCACGTATTCGATTAGATTTAGCAGATCCTTAATCAGTTACTCACTCCTACCTAGCGATATTGTTAGTGCACGCAACACGCATTAGATTGACTTCTTTCTTTTTTTTTTTTTTTTTTCTCTTGCAGGACCCACAAAAAATCTCAATATATTTTATTATAGCAATATCAACAATAAAATTCATTTTTTTTAGGTCCCACAAAAAAAAAAAAAAAAAAAACATTTGTAACCGACAACCACCTTGACGCGCTAGCAAGCACGTGCAATGCAAGTGTGTGTATGTGTGTGTGTGTATATATATATACACACACACACATACACACACTTGCATTGCACGTGCTTGCTAGCGCGTCAAGGTGGTTGTTGAAAGTTATAATCTGATTTTAAATTGGATTTAATATGATTTTAAATTGAATTTTAATCATAATCTCACTATTACTACTGAAGTGGTTCGGACTCCGAAACGTTATGTACATAAATAGTTAAAAGAATTAACTATAATTCACAACGATTCTATCATAATCTTATTTCCAAATATGCTTATAACTTTAAAATGATTAACCCAAAATTCACAATAATTCTAATAATACTAAATAAATAAATAAACTAAAGACTCACCGGAGTTCGTTTCAACGAAAAAATCAAAAGTTGAAACTTAGTCATCGAAAGATAAAAATTAATGAGTCAATATAGTAATTTGAAATGTTGTCAAACTTATTAGATATGTAATTCTATTAAAACATCATTTGGCTAATATAAAAGATAAAATGTCCTAAATATAGCAAGCAATTTGTTATCCGAAAAACACTCTAAACCCTTGCAATATAATGCACCAAAAAAAAAAGAACTTTAATTTATTAATCCGAGGGGTTGAGACAACAGAATTTTGGGAGTACTTTATTTTAGAGAACATTTATCTCTTAAATTCATATTCTCCCCAACAACCCCTCATCATCAATATTCTCTGGTCTTCTGCATGCAGCCATGCAATGATCTCCTCATTGCAACTCTATCATTTCTATCTCTTCTGTATATGTTATTCTCTCTCTAGAATATCATATCCTTAATTATCAATTTATCATCTCTAGCTAGCTAGAAATTTTTATATTTATTTATATATTTATATTTTTTGAATTTGATTTGATTATTTCTGATCGATCGCCATTTTATCGTTCGATCTCAACTTTCCCCTTATACAATAATAATGGGGAATTGTTGTCCAAAGGAAGACCAATCCGCGGAAGATCCGAAACAAACGGACCAAAATCAGGAGGATCAACCGACCACCGCGCCGGAAAATGATCCGATGGGAGCGGCGCCTCCGAAGTCGTCGTCGGCGGGGTCGTCGGCGAAGGTGCAGATAGGGACGGTGCTAGGGCGGCCGATGGAGGACGTGCGGGCTACGTACAGCATAGGGAAGGAGCTAGGGCGGGGGCAATTTGGGGTTACGCATCTCTGCACTCACAAGCAAACTGGCGAACAGTTTGCGTGCAAGACGATCGCGAAGCGGAAACTGGTGAACAAGGAGGACATCGAGGACGTGCGGCGGGAGGTGCAGATAATGCACCACTTGACGGGGCAGCCCAACGTGGTGGAGCTCAAGGGCGCCTACGAGGACAAGCAGTCGGTGCACCTCGTCATGGAGCTCTGCGCCGGCGGAGAGCTGTTCGATCGAATTATCGCCAAGGGACACTACACGGAACGCGCCGCCGCGTCTCTGCTCAGAACCATCGTCCAGATCGTGCATACCTGCCATTACATGGGCGTCATCCACAGAGATCTTAAGCCTGAGAATTTCCTCCTCTTGAGCAAAGAAGAGAATTCTCCTCTCAAGGCTACAGATTTTGGTCTTTCAGTCTTCTACAAGCAAGGTTAGTTCAACAATTTTCCACATTTTCTTCTTATGTTACAGTTATCATCAACAAAAATTTCTATGAACTCGAGTCTACCTCATTATTATTAATTACTAAATAACAAATGTTAAAAGTGAAAAAAATGAAAATAATATTTGCAACATACATTTTGTCTAGCTTGTCAATTAATATTAGTTTGAAAAAATAAATTTGTGAGGACATCTTCAGCCATTGGTCAAATCGTTGCATTGGTAACTATAAAGTTTTAAGTTCAAACACTTAATAGTGGATGACTATAGGGGTGTTTGCTAATCAGCTGCTAGCTAAGTTAGTTTGACTAATTGATAACATTAGTGAATTGTAAAAAAACGTTTGGTAAATTAACTATTAGCTGATAGCCGATTACATGCAAAATGACTTTCTCAAAAAATTAATCAAAAAAATTGCTTTGAGTAGCTTTTTGAATTTTAATATTTTGAAAATTAATCAAACACTCATATAGATTATTTAATCAAGTCAAGCTAATAGTGGTCAAATAAACTAAAATTGACTGATAAGATAATTATGTTACCAACAAGGCCAATAAGTAAAGATATTAAAAATAATGAAAATTATCCAAGAAAATTCTGGATTTTTTTTAAAAATTTTATTTTTGTTTTTATTTCAGGAGATGTGTTTAAAGACATAGTTGGCAGCGCATATTATATTGCACCAGAAGTCTTGAGGAGAAGATACGGACCGGAGGTAGATATATGGAGCGTTGGTGTCATGTTATACATTCTTCTCTGTGGAGTGCCTCCTTTTTGGGCAGGTGCTATATTTAGGCCATATTTACTAAATTTGAAATTGAATACCATATTTACTAAATTTGAAACTGAAAGACTAAATTACATGATAATGAACATTTGAAGAATTAAAAGTACAATTATTTTTTACCTTAAAAGGGGTAGCTAAGTAGCTAGCTAGGTGAAATATGATTCAATTTAGTGTTTTATATAATTTACAAACTATAGCATATAAGCGAGTTTATCTTGTGTGGCACACTGGCACCTTCTTACTACTAATTTTTGTAAAAAAAACATAAAAATGAGACTACCTGATCTCTATTTCTTTCCAATGATAGAATTGAATCTCATTGGATTCCTTTCAATTCAAGATTTCACATTCAGGTGGGAATGGAACTATTATCATAGCTTTAATAATGAAAGAATAACCAATAAATATGTGTTGATCGATCAGAATCGGAGCATGGAATATTCAATGCAATACTGCGTGGGCACCTTGATTTTTCAACTGACCCATGGCCAGCAATTTCACCCGGGGCAAAAGACCTGGTTCGAAAGATGTTGAACTCAGATCCCAATCAAAGATTGACTGCAGCTCAAGTTTTGAGTAAGTTACTTTTTTCTTTACGAGTCATATAAAGTACTTTTAATATCAATATTGATAATATTTGATACAACCCGTTATTCTTATGCTATAACACGTACAATACCGGTATAGATTGATACCTTAATTAAACTTTCTTTAAAATAAGGGAAAATGGTCAAATAGGCCCTCGAACTTTAGCTTAAAAGTCAATTAAACACCTAAACTTTTTAAAGGTACAATTACACCCATCAACAATTCATTTATGTGCAATGAAGCCCAAAAACAAGTTAATGACCTGCTATCACAGGTCACTAGTTCATGCCACCTTCCGGCAAAAAAAAAAGTGACCGGCAAAATTTCCAGTAAAAAAAAAAAAGTAACCTGCGACCAACGAACGGTCGCCGCCGGTCACTTTTTTTTTTTTTTGTCGGAAATTTCGCCAGAATGTGGCCTGAACCCTAATGACCTGCGGCAGGTCATTAACTTGTTTTTGGGCTTCATTGCACTTAAATGAATTGTTGATGGGTGTAATTACACCTTTAAAAAGTTTAGGGGCCTAATTGACTTGTAAGTTAAAGTTTGAGGGCCTATTTGATCTTTTTCCTTAAAATAATTATATTAGAGTTTTGCCAATAATATGATACTAATTGTATGGTTGTGTACCTGTGAAGATCATTCATGGATCAAGGAGGATGGGGAAGCACCAGATACACCATTGGACAATGCTGTTTTGGACAGACTCAAACAATTTAGAGCCATGAACAAGTTCAAGAAAGTTGCCCTCAGGGTAAGTATAATTATATTATATGTTGGAAGAATAATTATATTATATGCTCAATTTATCAATAAATACAACTTATTATGATCTAAACGAAAAGTATCTATTTTAGTTTCTCAATAAAATTTTAAATTCAAACTTAGCTCGTGAATACAATAATAATGTTAATTAAGCTCAAATGCAACTCGGCATACTGAATTCATGTTAATCTATGTGTTTGTTTTGTTGAATGAATAGGTCATCGCAGGCTGTCTTTCAGAGGAAGAAATAATGGGATTGAAGCAGATGTTCAAGGGCATGGACACCGATGAAAATGGCACAATTACCCTTGAGGAGCTGAAGCATGGGCTAGCTAAGCAAGGGACAAAACTGTCAGAATATGAAGTTAAGCAGCTGATGGAAGCTGTGAGTTCATCATCAACACTAATTAATTATTGGCTATAATTAAACTCCTATATTAGTGTTAGAATATAATTTTTAATCATCTTCATACTTCATATCATATCTTAGTGAAAATAAACATATATAGATTAACCTAATTAACATCTTGAGTAATCGGTAAGCGGGTTAGTTGCCTATAGTTGATCAACTCAAACTAATAAGGTCAATGTCCTTGTGATTTATTACTTATCAAATATGTTAATGGTTTTGTAATTTAATAATCAACATATCACATCTTAACGAATAACATCAATGGTCATTTCTACCATGATTTCCTTTTAGTCATTATAATAATCTTGTTTTTTATGAATTAATGATGGCTAGGCTGATGCTGATGGCAATGGGACCATAGACTATGAAGAGTTCATTACAGCAACAATGCATCTCAACAAAATGGATAGAGAAGAGCATCTTTACGTTGCATTCCAATACTTTGACAAGGACAATAGTGGGTAAGTTACAGTGTTAGATATACACCAAAAAGTTTTTTTTTAACTTAATAATAATATTATTATTATTCACAACTAAATTAAAGTCTCCTGTATTCATGTTTTTTTTTTTTTTTTTTTTTTTTCATTCTAAATTAGGTATATTACAATAGAAGAATTAGAACAGGCTCTACGAGAATTCGGCATGAATGACGAGAGAGATATTAAAGAAATCATATCTGAGGTTGACAATGATAATGTAAGTGCAAATAAATACATGCTTGAGTCAAATCAATATTCTTCATACCAAAAATGCTACATATACATAGTAATAACTAATTTGTTTCAATTTTATATATGTTAAATGATTTTACTTGTCTAAGTACATGGGTATCACCCTTCCATATTTTGCCTACCCGTCAAAAATCCAACAACCCAAATAAATAAAGTCACATGCATGATCTTAAGTTTCCAATCTTTGATTATTTCGCATGTTTTATTATATATATACAAATGATGGGGTTATCCAGTGAATAGGACATGACTCTTATAATTTTATATATGAGGTCATGAGTACAATTTCTACTAAAATTCTATTGATCAAGTTCGTCTCACATAGATCTTCCTAGTACGATTTAACTGCTGACAAATGAAATTGTCTTTTGAATGTTTTAAACATCAGGATGGTCGAATCAACTACGACGAATTTGTAGCGATGATGAGGAAAGGCCAACAAGACTCGGATACGAATCCTAAGAAACGGAGAGAATCGTTCGTTGCATAGTAGTGGAGAGAATAAGTTTCATATATAGTAACTCAAGGGTATACATATATATATAACCTTAGCCGCCTTGCAGCATTTTTACCTGCCATTTCCAGGTTAGGTCAAAGGATGTTCGTGGAAGTTAACGTTAAATTTCGAATGCTCTTGAGAAGGGAAAGGTGCATGGTGAGGGAATTTCATATCTTTGTAAAATATTAGATACATAGTACATATCATGGGGGAGTATATTGTATATAGTTGTATTCTACAAGTGTAATATTATTGGTACGATAGTAAACAATGATAAACATGCATGCACATATCATTTATAGTTTTATACATAATATATTTAATAATCATATTACATCGTTGTGAATTGTTATTTGTTACATTTAATAGATACAATATTTTAATAGCAATAAGATTTGAATTCAAACTTATTGTATATTAATATAACAAGTGTAATAGAAATGAGACTTCATCATCAGCACAACAATACAATTTAACTCAAAGTTATTAATTGTAAAAAGTGTAACTTACAATTAATCATAATAGAACACACATATATAAAATTTTACATATAGTACCAATATAAAGTCGAAGGTTAAAATGGGCAAATAATATCAAATCATATAATTAATTAATAATGTGTGATTTAACCTCCAATTTGACCCACACTAAAAATATATGGATGGTACATATTGAAAAGTGACCATTTAATTGTTTTAAAAAAATGAGAGTCACTTTCATATTGATGCATGGGTAACAATTCCATATATCAAATTAAAGCTATAAAAGAATATGACATATTTATAATTTGACAAAAATTGAATATACTTATTAACGGGTTTAGTCAATCTCGAGATACTAGAATAAGTATGTGAATGTCTCAAACATAATGTTTAAATTGCAAATAGTATGTAACAATGTATGACTAAACCATTGTATTAAAATGCTATTTATAAGACGAAGGGCACCCTCCATTATAGATTTTAGAGGGTTAATAAAAAAAAATAAAAAAGGAGAAAAACATAATATGTACAACAAGAATTAAGTTCTTGTAAGGGAAATTAAATAGGGAAAAGAAAAAAAGCAAGTTATTAACTAAACTTGCTCATCTAGCAAGTGTAGGTATATGCTTCACGCGTTAGCTAGGTGAGTTTGGATGGTTACCAATTATAATCACCTGATATTTAATATTTTTAATGATTTTTAAGTATGCTTAACAAATATGGACTACTAAATTTATGACGTTGTTTAAACCACTCCATACAAATTACATAACCTATTTAACTATTGAACTTAATTTATTAGACTAACTTAATACCTAATATTTATCACCATATCTTACTAATTTTAATATGTAACATTATTATATTATTATGAATCAACATGTTAAAATATTCCACATCATCATCCTTATTGGGCCTTGGGTGCAAGCCCATAATGTTGTATTAATGTTCTTTGGGATTCCTGTGTAATTTGTCCGGAGTTGAGGGGCCAGTTCGTAAATGCAGGAAAATTTGGACCACACTAGGGGGGCAAAATGGTAAATTACACCGTATACATACGCTATCATTATCCGTATATACGGTGGAAGTAAAACGTAGAGAGACCAAAAGTCAAAATTGGCATGTAAGAGAGAGAGAGGATGACGAAGAAGAGGACGTCACTTCCAATTTCCCCATTTTCTCCTCTCCTTCCTCGTTTGTAATCTCTGGGCGTTTCCAAGGCCCACCTGGAGGTTTTTGCTTTGCTTTGCTGAGCTGCGAGAAAAACGGTCAGCTCTCTTCTTCACCGATTCACCGAAAAGCTTTTGCGGATAAGAAGAGGACGGTGACGAAGGCAAAACGCCGGAAAAACACTAAAAAAACGCAGAAAAAGCAATATATATTGTATATATGTAGGCTTCAGCGAAGAGTCGCCGGAGAAAACTCTTCATTCGTTCTGTATAGTAAGTTTTACCTTCAGCTCCTCCGTCGTTTCTACTGTATTTGTACTCTAGATAGACTGTGGTTGAGCTCGTAAATCGTGCTTTTGGCAAATTTGAAGACTGATTATTGCTACTGGCGTTATATTTTTAGTTGAATTTTTTTCCCGCTGATTTAGTTTAAATTCGATTTTGCAGTATGTTGAATTGCCTTTGGAGTTTAGTTGCGGTTGTGATTTTTGATTGTGTAGGGATTTGAATGGGCATAAGCTGTCTGATTATAGAGGAGTGTTGTGTAATCTGTTTGTTTTGGATGAATTGAGCAGGGGAATTGTTTGGTGTTGGGGCTGGGTGGTTGTATTTGGGCAGTTATGTTATATCAGTTTTGAGGTGAACTTTTGGTTGGTATCTTTGGCGATTGATCTGGTCATAGAGCACTTTATGGTCTACTGAACTTATAAAAGTGTGGCAAACAAACTTTTAAATACACAGCTCTTTGATTACTTATTACCTTTAAAAGAAAGTGTAGCTCAATGTTCAATTCGTGTTAGCTAAGTACCTAGTAAAAATAAATGCTTGACAAAGTTGCTTAAATAAGCATGATCTTCCTTAGCAAAGCAAAGGGTGTGTTGTTACAACAACTTATCTTATTTGAAACTATTTAATTTAATATGAGGTACCTCTAATTGATATTGGGCTTGAAAACTAAGGTAAAGTCGCATGCTTCTTCCTTCCTTGTACCATGCAGGGGCCTTGTGCACTGGGTTCAACCTTTTATTAAGTACTCCATGGCTTAGACTATGTGTGTTATGACTGATCAAAATCCTTAAACTTTGACAGGTAAGGAAAAAAAGAAATACACGATCTTCCAAATATTTCTAGCTGAATGCTCTAAATCTTTGTTTAAACTTAGCGAATGTGATAATTGTGCATTTTCCTAGAGTACTTAGCACTCCTCCAACTTCTTGGAATCATCTGATTTTTATATATATAATTATTTTATTTTGTTTTATATCTCGTATGGTTCTTCAAACCATTGTGTACCCTTCTGTTTAAAACTTGTTCTTGCTGAGACTTGAAATATTTTGAATTCAGTTGCAGTTTCATTTTTTGTTGGTCAGTTTGTAAAAATAGTTGGAGGTGGTTTCTAAGCATGTAAGCCTGTTTGTTCATGTTATCATTTTAGAGTTACCATTTCTGCAAGTCCATAGATAATGATCTTGTTTTCTGTTTGCTTTACATTGCAGAAGAGCATACAGTGATGCAAATCCTAATCTAAAGTTATATCTGGAAAATTGGTATTTGGTAATATCCCATGATGGCAGATGTCAGTCCTAGGACTGATACATCAACTGATGCAGATACTGAAGATAAAAACATGGGGGTACTTATTATTTTCTCAAAACATCTGCACAATTATATTTTTCATAGTCCTGGCCCTCTGACCTATTCGTCTTTGAGGGTTATTTTAGTTTCTTATTGCTATTGTTTTCTATCCCCATGAATTTGGTTTTCTTTGTTAATGAATTGCCTTTCAAAACTTCAAAAGATAATGAAAATGGATACAATAACAAGTTATGAGTAGTTGAAAATTCTTTTCACTTCTTCATTATCCAGCAATTAATTGTCTGTATTTTTTTTTTTTTTTTTTTTTTTTTTACTGTTGATTGTAGTTTCAAAACAATCATGCATTGGGTATTGTGGGTTCAGATGGCAGTGACAGGACAAGAGATCAAAAGGTACACATTTTTTTCACTATGGACAAGTAACTTGAAAAAGTGATGGAGATCAACAAAGTTGTAATTTTCAACTGTCATGTGCAGACACTTCGTAGGCTTGCTCAAAATCGTGAAGCTGCTCGAAAGAGCCGTTTACGGAAGAAGGTAGGTTATTCTCCTTTATTTGTTATTCCTTGTCACTTTGTCAGTAATTGCTTTTTTTTTTTTTTTTGTTGTTGTTGTTGTTTTTTTTTTGGGTGATTTCCTTTTCAAAAAAACTCAACTTAAGTTACTACAGAAAAGATTATCTGCTTTGCATCTCTTTCATGAATTTTGTAGGGGATTAATTTATCTGAACTACTATGATTATAGCCTGATGTGCTTCATATTGATTCATTCGTTATATTTTCCCTTTTGGTGCAGGCATATGTCCAACAATTAGAGAACAGCAGAATGAAACTGACACAATTAGAGCAGGAGCTTCAACGAGCTCGACAACAGGTTTGTTCAGACTAGTATTTCATAGTTGTTTCTTTTATCTTCAATATATATATATATCTTTTCAAGCTTTGTCAGCACTAGCCTTTGTTGTGGAACAACTAGTAGTGCTTCCTTGTTCAACACAATAAAGAAGCGTTTCTTTTTCTGATTAAGGGCATATTTATCTCAAGTTCTGGAGATCAATCACAATCTATGAGTGGAAATGGTAATGCTCATTTTCTTTTATTCTGACCATGTATTTCTCATATGAAGTTCAAATTTTGGTTTTCCTTATAAATTATACATTGATTGAATTATAGAGTGCCAATGCTTTGTATACTAAATGGTTTTGTCATGTACCTAAAGATCTTACAAGATGCAATATTTCCAAGATAATTCAAATAATTGTTGCCCAATACACAACACAGTTCTAATCCATTTGGGTCGAAGCGCAAGGGCACTGGTGCTGACCTAAAGCATGATAACATCATATATGCTTTAAGGAGAGTAAATGAATTCCCATCCATCTCTACTTGCTGCGTACAAGGTTCAGCAGCATCTTTGGGCTTCAACTAATCTCTAATAAGTCCTAAAAGCTCACATAGCCTAGTGACATGCACATCAATGCCTTATGTGCCAACTTATGTTTTTGTCTCTCCTATGCTGGGCTCTAAAAAATCCTACTAGCAAAGCCCTTTTCAAGAGTCACATAATTTGGATGGTTCCTTAGCTCTTTAATCTTTACTTGTGAGGATGTGAACTGTGATGAACATGCAAATCAGGATTATATTTAGATGTTATAAATTTTTTCTATGATAAAAAAAGAAAGGTAATCTATTGAACGTGGAATACTTTGCATGGAAAGGAGAATATAGATGTCCATAAGTTCTGAATATACTACATAAGAACGAATCTTGGTGTATTGCAAGGTTGAAAAAATCGCTAGGCACCTGGGGACCGCCTAGGCGGGCGCCTATAGCGATTAATCGGCGCCTAGAGCGCCTAGGTGGCCGACCGCCTAGACGCCGATTAATCGGCGCCTAGGCGCGATTTTTGCAACACTGGTGTATTGTATGCCATTTCAATTCAATTTATGATCTCTATTTTGATGTGATGTTCCATACCCCCATCCCTTTTAGGAGCCCTGGCATTTGATGTAGAATATGCACGGTGGCTGGAAGAGCACAATCGACGAATTAATGAGTTAAGAGGAGCGGTTAATTCCCATGCTGGTGATGCTGAACTTCGCATCATTGTTGATAGCATCATGGCACACTATGAGGACATTTTCAGGATAAAAGGAGAGGCTGCAAAAGCTGATGTCTTTCATATTTTGTCGGGCATGTGGAAAACTCCTGCTGAGAGATGCTTTTTGTGGTTGGGTGGATTTCGTTCATCTGAACTCCTCAAGGTGAGGGCTATTGATTTCCATGGTGCAAGTGCTTGCTATGGGTAATAAGGTCCCTCAAATAATGTTAGGAACAAAACTCACACACCGCTCTGTCATTGAAACAACAGAACTTGGCTCTTGTGAAGACTTCTGCACCTTACAAATATGATACATGCAATGCATAATAACAAATGCTATCTCATAGAGAACTCACTATCTCAACAACTGAATTACTCAATAACTACCAATATCTTCGAAATTATGGGAATAACTTTAAACATGAGAAGATGAATAATTTGAATAGGCTTGTATTAGTCAGCATCTCGTGCCATTCTTCCAGCTAAAGTATGTCCTACATTTCCTTTCCTTGTTTTCTCCATTTATTGAACTACTTTGTTTTTAACTTTTGATCTGCATGGTTTGCAGTTGCTTATAAATCAGTTGGAGCCTTTAACTGAACAGCAATTACTGGCCATCAACAATTTGCAACAGTCTTCTCAACAGGCTGAAGATGCGTTATCCCAGGGAATGGAGGCATTGCAACAATCCTTGGCTGAGACTCTTGCAGGGTCTTTAGGCCCATCAGGCTCTTCAGGAAATGTTGCAAATTATATGGGCCAAATGGCCATGGCAATGGGGAAACTAGGAACTCTCGAGGGGTTTATCCGCCAGGTGATCACTTTGGTCTTTTACTATTTCTTTCAAGTTAAGAAATTTGGTCTTTTATATGCATATTAATTGCCACAAATGCATTGACATTTTGCTCTTGAATCCCTATCAGCTTTCCCTGGTCCCATTACCAAGTTTTAGGGTTTATGTCCGGCTATGGGTTACAATATCAAAAGGTTTTGTTTAGGTTAAAATATAGGGATGACAACGATGAAATTGTGATTTAATTGTAGAAAAAGAAAAGAAAAGAAAGAAGAGCTCTAGGAATCACTTTAGGATTTCCCAAGGCATCACATATTGGCATAGAGGTTCATCACAGAATTCAAGACAAGCATTCTTGTTGGAAAATTCTCTTATTAACTGAACTCTAAGGGGGTGTTTGGTTCACGGAATGTTAGATTACCTTAGGGAATTTTAGATTGCTGGGAATGTTAGATTCCTGTGTTTGGTTTAAAACTAAGATATGTAAATAAGACAACGGTAAAAAGATAAATTGATTAAAATGTCCAAAGCCCAACATTAGTAATAAGACAAGGGAATGCGAGATTACCTAAGAAATTGGAGGGTATCTCACATTCCCTTCCAATAGCTAAAAACTTAATGCAGAGGTTATCTAACATTCCTTGGGAAAGTTACATAACCTGAACCAAACATGAGAATCTTATATTACCAAGCAAATATAACCTTGGTTATCTTATATAACCTGAACCAAACGCCCCCCAACAGTTTAACGAATCTGTTACAGTGTTACTGCACATTTGGTGCCAAATTAATGGAGGCAGTGTTTGGTGATGCATCCTAGTATAGTCATTTTGTTGTGGTGTTTTTTGTTATTACTCCCTCTGTCCCATTTTACTTGTCTTGTTTACTACGGAGTATTTATGAGTCAAACCAACTCTTTCTTCTTTGCTTATTACTTTTTTTTTTAATTATTTTTAAATTTGATTTTTTGTGTTTATAATACTTTTAATGTAGTTTCTAAATATATAAAATTTATACACTAATACTAAACATTTTTTGAAACACTCGTGATTCTTTTCAGCCCAAAGAATCAATGCCCCCACCACCGGGGTATGATCTAGTGACCACCCATTTGGAATGGTAACAGAGGTGCCATCACACTACATAGTAGTTGGCACTAATACTAAACTTAATATTATGAAAAATTGAATAAAAAATAACTTCAGTCAAGCCTGTTAAACGAACCAGACAGATAAAATGGAACGAAGGGAGTACAATTTAAAAGCCTTATACATGAATAGTATTTAGATGGCATATAATTAAGGTTGGTTGAAAAGGTTTATAAGAATGTCTCTAGAGCTTAAGACCTATTCTTGTATATGTGAACCATTGGCGGACTGGACTTCTTATGCAACTGCTGATTGTTATCAAGAACTGAATTTCACAAATTGTCTTTACTCTCTGAAATAGGTTACATGGTAGGTGACCCAATGGAAAGCATTGGTAGTTTAAGAAAGTCTGATTACATGCTGCATAACATTAATCAGCTGCAATATCATACAAGTTGGCAATGTGCATTCCATCTTTTCCTTGATGAAAATATTCATGTCACAAGTTTTCATCACTGTACTAATTGGTTTCAGGCTGATAACCTGAGGCAACAGACGTTGCAACAAATGCATCGCATATTGACGACTCGCCAAGCAGCTCGAGCTTTTCTTGGCATCAGTGACTACTTCTCACGGCTTCGAGCACTTAGCTCTCTTTGGCTTGCCCGTCCCCGGGAGTGAGAAGTTACTTTTGTCTGATACAGAAAATGGAGATATTCTTGGGGGCATTTGTAAATGAGAATTGTGCCTGGAAGCCATGTTTAAATTAGGGACGATATATAGAGGCTGTGCTGCACTAATCCCTATCGGCTGAGATCGCGCGGCTCCATGTAGTTGATCTGTTCATGTTATAATTATACATATTTCCTGAATTTATTGAATGTTATGTTTTTTTTTTTTTTTTTTTTGGGGTTTTTTTTTAATAGATAGACATGATATGGTTAGTGAACTTTGTCTATTTTAGCATGCTTAGAAGTGACATAGTAAGAAGCTAAGAGCTAATGGAAATTAGATACTGTTGTTGAAAGACTTACCCAGCATTGTATAATGCCCTTTCATGCTGTTGGTATTCTGTATTTCTGTACCCTAATGGTGTGGCAAATGGAAGTTTCTATCCTACATAATAAGGGTTAAATTAACAGAAAACTTTATCTATATCTAAACTCAAACCATTATCTAACCCTTGGGATAGAGGGTCTTTTAACTAATGGCAAAAAGTATTTATTTTTTTAGAGAAAAATTGGAGGGGGTGTATTTTTTACCTCAAAATTAGAAGTCTTTTAACTAAATGGCAAAAAAATATTTATTTTATTAGAGGAAAATTGAGAGGTGTGTATTTTTAGCCTCAAAATTAATGGTCACAAATAGTCAGAAGCAATTGGCTTTGCAATGCCAAAGAAATAGCTAATGTTGGGAACAAATAGCCTTGCAATGCCAAAGAAATAGCTAATGGCAAACTAGTTATCTTGATTTTCAGATTAACAATATATAATATGCATTATCCTGATTAGAAATATTAGTTCTATCATATTTTATGCTGCATTAAGCAAAAGATGGAGGTATGTGCTTGTATCAGACACTATTGTGTGATTTGTGTCTAATATACATATACATGCACACATAGATACATAATTTTCTTTTATATTTTACCTTTTAAATCCGTTTATTTATGATTTTTATTATTTAAAAAAAAAATATATTCTGCAAAATAGCAATGTGGGTTTTCAAAAGTTGGGATAAAATGTTTTTGAAATCTATGACTTCAGAAACCCATTGCATTTGACTTCTACTCTTGTGAGAAATGCATTTGTTAGATGCCCTTGTTTTAAGGGTTAAAATACATTTTCTAAATGCACCTGGTTGTTGGGGATTAAAATAACTATTATTTTATTTATTATTACCCATATATATATATATATATATATATATATATATATATATATGTTTGATACACTATATGAGATTTAATAATATAAAATATTTTAAGAATTCTCATAATAACTTAGAATATTCTATACAGAAAAAACCTCCTAAAATGTTTTACCTCTATAAAATAAGATAAAATTCACATTTAGGCATAAGCTTATTGTTTAAATCTTTGATTTTCCTATTTAATTTTTGTACTAAAACGATTTAATTTTTATTTTTTATATTTTAAATGATCAATGAACAAATCAACCTATCAAAACCAATAAAATTTACTTTATAATTTGTTCCCCGTTCTTTTTTCAAAAGTTTTTTTTTTTTTTTTGTTAAATGTTTTAGTATTTGTTAACATATTTGAATTCTCAAAAAAATGCGGACAATTTCTTTAAGTTCATATGTTGTTCTTTTTTTCAAAGAATTTTTTTTGTTATAATATTTGTGGTCATATTGAGAAAATGGTCAAATAGATCCTTAAACTTTATTCAAATAATCAATTAGGCATTTAAACTTTCAAAGCCCTTAAACTTTCAAAGGTTGTAATTTACAGGTTACCAATTGACTTTTGGGCTTCAATGCTTCAAAATAAGATGTTTATAAATTTAATTGCAACCTTTAAAAGTTTAGGGGCTTAATTGATTTTTTGAGTAAAATTTAAGAGCATCTTTGACCCTTTTCCCGGTCATATTTGAATTCTCAGAGTTAAGATACTTATATCAATTCTTATCATCCTCATTATATATTTTTTTTTCATAATTTAAACTAAAATTAAAATTTTATTGTATTTGTTGAATTTTTTTAAAATTATTTTTTTAAAAATAATAATATATAAAAAATTAAGTTTATATATATATATATATATATATATATATATATATATATATATATATAGAATTAAGTTCCAGTGCGGGTAAGTGTCTCCTGTGCGGTTGTGCGGGTGATTAATGTGCATGAGTTTTGTACTTAAGGTGCTGAGGTTTGTGCTTAATGTGTGTGAGTGTGTACTGAGTTTTGTGCTTAATGTGCGTGAGTTTTGTACTTAAGCTGCGTGAGTCTTGTGCTTAATGTGCGTGAGTTTTGTACTTAAGGTGCATGAGTCTTGTGCTTAAGGTGCGTGAGTTTTGTGCTTATATGTGCGTGAGTGTGTACTTAATGTGAGTTGTTGTTGAAACTTTAAGGTGCATGAGTTTTGTGCTTAATGTGCGTGAATTTTGTGCTTAAGGTGCGTGAGTCTTGTGCTTAAGGTGCGTGAGTTTTGTACTTATTGTGAGATGTTGTTAAAACTTAAGGTGCGTGTATTTTTGTGCTTAAGATGCGTGAATTTTGTGCTTAACGTGTGTGGGGTTGTGTGCTTAAGGTGTTTTATTTGTGTGCTTAATGTGCGTGTGTTTTGTACTTTAAGTGCGTAAGATTAATACTTAACGTGCGTCCAACCGCACAACCGCACGGAAAGCCCCACCCGCACCTGATCCCTTTCATATATATATATATATATATATATATATATATATATATATATATATATATATATATATAATAGCAATACATAAGTTGCTACACTGTGTACAACTTATAATTCCAGGGAAGGCATCGAAATTAAAGAGTTGCCAAATTAGCCAAATTCCATCCTATTCTCCACTTGTGCGTGTCTTTTATTAACTATGTGGATGGAATTTGAATTATTTTATTTATAGTGGAGTCAATTTATACCCCTCAAATTTTATTACTTATTGCCTATATATACATATATTCTAAAAAAATCTTTAAAATGAAAAAAAATAAATAAATTAAATTAGTACATTGACCATAATAAATTTTGTTGGCTCGCCATGATAATCTAAGTATATGTACCTGTTATGGGGTCTGAATAACAATGCGAATAGTTTACATCTTATTGAATGATTTTTAATGTATTAACCTTGTTTATTCTTTTGTATCATTTGCAATTTTTGCAGATAGCAAATCATTGCCCACCTGTGCTTCTCAGATCATACTTAAAATAAGATCTTTAGTGATCTAATAATCTAATTCTGCATTATTTCATTAAATATTGTGATGTTAGGCTTTGATATAACCCCTTTGGGTCGATTTGATCAATATGCATAAGCCAAGGGGATATTGATCAATATATACCATGCATATATATGTGTGTGTGTTTTTACACGTTCAAGATTGTATTAGTCAATGTGCGTTGACCAAAGGGACGTTGACTAAAACAAACTTGAAAATCTAAAGCATTCAACATTGTGATTGATTGATTATCTAATAAAAAGATATCAATTAATCACAATGTATCATGTTCAAGTAAAATTTTTAGCATGTTAAAACACAAAGCAACAAGGGAACGGAGGTAAAAGCAAAAGCTAAAGCTGGCTGCTTTTATGTCCGTTCCCCTGTATAGCAAGCAGCACAAATGCAGAATAGATGACTAACTACGTGAATGTTATTGGAAATGCAGAGGAATATTAATAAGATGTCCGTACCCAAGTTTGGAGCATGGGAACAGAAGCCTGGGGGCACCAGTCCCACTCCCAGTAATTACACCGTGATGTTTTCTGAAGCTCGCGCAAACAGGAAGCATCATAGAAGCGAGTACACTCACCACAGCATTGGGAATGACCAAGAGCTTCGTGCTAAACAATACAACCCGATGCCCATCCCCATGGAGGAGGACTATGGGAGGGTAAGACTTCTCCAGCCTCAGCTATTCATTTTTCATCCTGTCATATAAAAATCAAAGCTCCGATTTTGTTATGATCCATATCCCCTTGGTGATCAAATGCATATGGATCATAACATGTCGGTTTCTATTTTATTGGATGCAAAAGCATGTTATATTTCACAGAATAGAACATGCAAACTCCAATTTTGTTGTGATCCAGAAAATGTTATATTTCATACAACATACAAATTCTGGTTTTATTATGATCCATATCCCCTTGGTCAAATGCATATGGATCATAACATGCCAGTTTCTATTTTACTTGATACACACCAGCATGTTATATTTCACAGAACATGTGAACTCCGGTTTTAATACGATCCATATCCCCCATGGTCAAAACTCAAACGCATATGGATCATATTATGCTGGGTTTCTAACTTTCTATTTTATCTTATGCATGCTAGCATGTTATATTTCACAGACCATGCAAACTCCGGTTTTATTATGATCCATATCCCCTTGGTCAAAGGCATATGGATCATAACATAACATGCCGGTTTCTATTTTACTTGATGCATCCTAGAATGTTATTTTCCACAGAACATGCAAACTCCAGTTTTAATATGATCCATATCCCTATGGTCAAAACTCAAACGCATATGGATCATATTATGCTGCTTTTAATTTACCTGATGCATACCAGCATATTATATTTCACAGACCATACAAACTACAATTTTATTATGATCCAGATCCCCTTGGTCAAAGGCATATGGATCATAACATGCTGGCTTCTATTTTACCTGATGCATACCAAAATGTTATGTTTCACAGAATATACAAACTCCCAATTTTATTATGATCCATATCCCCTTGGTCATGCTATGGATCATAACATGCCAATTTTTGTTATACCTGATGCATGCCAGCATGTTATATTTCATAGAACATGCAAACTTTGGTTTTATTATGATCCACATCCATCCCTTTGTCAGGTTCATATGGATCATTACATTCAGGTTTCAATTTTTACCTTCTGCCACCTGTATATTGTATTTCACTTAAAGTTGTACAGTATATACTTATTTCGCAGAACACGCAAACTCTTAGTTCAGTTATGATCCATATCCCCTTGGTCAAACACTTCGATCATAACATCCTAGTTTATATTGTACCTGCACCTGCTATCTGCTGAAATTCTACAGTTCACCTAAAATTCAATGGGTTTTCAGAGGACAAACAATCTCTGGTTTTTGTAATAATCCATTCCCCCACCCCACCCCACCCCACCCCACCCCCCACCTGCCCCGATCAAAAAGCATACAAGCTATATTTCACTTAAAATTTTTATAGATAACTTATAGGACATGCAAATGCTGGCTTTATTATGATTAATATCCCCTGGGTCAAACACAGATGGATCATAAAATGCCAGAGTGAAAGAGTTTCAAGTATTCATGCTGCTGCATACCTGCCTGGCTGCAACAC